TTTGGAATGGAAATGTTTACCTTATGCCCTAGAATCATGAGAATGTAAAACTTGCTTTTTGAATTTTGCAAGGTTTCACTGCTAAGAGTTTCCCTTGAGACTCAGAGGAGACTCTACTTGAATTTTTGAGCAATGCTGGGAACTTTGAGACTTTTGGGATAGAATTAGTACAATTTTGGTTTATGAAGGGTAGTTGCATTACGTTAGTAGAATTATAAACTTCTTGTTGTCTCTATTTAGATATTAAATGTGGTTTAAGAAGATACTGTTGGCTGTCAAGTTGACAAAAGGTGGATTGTGATGGTTGATCTTGCTGCTCAACTTGATTGACTTGAAATATACCTAGGAGATTAATAAAGCTTACTTCTGGGTGTGTCTGGGTGGGTCATGGGGACATGACCTTGAAGACCACATCTGGTCCCTGATCCTTTCCTCTGTAGCTCTTCTCCTGCTTCCTGGTTTCTGGACACCATGAATTGTCTAGCTTTCTTCCACTATACTCTTATGCCATGATATTTCTGCCTGGGAAACAGCCAACCACAAACTGGTTTTATCCCTTGTAAGTGTTCCACCCCTGTGCTCTCCACATGACCTTCTATTTGTCTTCATTGTCACAAGTGACTGTTCACAACTTCTTCCAAGCATACTTTATCTGACCCCTTTAATTTGGGTTTGATGCCCCTCCTCACGTCTTGCCCACATTATAGCACCGGCCACACATGCTTTTGTCTGTCCTTCCCAGTGTCCTAGGAGCTCTATGGGAGAAAGAAATTGTTTTTAAAATTTTTATTCATTCTACCTCACAGAAGTCTTGTCATAACAGTCACATAATATTTTTATGAACCGGTAAAGGAATGAGTGATGAGCAAAAGAAATAATCAAATCCCAATCAAATGATTTCTGATATTTTCTCTATTTCTGTCAATCTGAATGGAGTTGGTTTCTCACACTCATTTTTATGATCAAATAATAGTTTTTGATCCTCAGGACACACTATTATTACGTGTATAACTAACAAAAAATCCTTACACATATTCAGATGTTTCTGTAGAAAAAATATCTATTGTCTGATAAATGTTTTTATTCCCCTCAGGGACTAATAACAACTCTTTACTTAGTTCCATTAAATGTTGAAAAGAAGACATTCAGATGCTACAGAGCCCACTTTGTGTGGGAAACATCATGGTACCAGGAAACTAGGCTTTGGATTTGAGGTTAAGATTTTTGAATTTGAAAACTCATTTGGCCATTTTCCTTTGAGCTATTCTACTCAATAAAATTGGAAAATATTATCTATAAACTTTTTTGTTATTTGTTACATAAGCTTGTAGGCATTAAAAATTCTTTGTAAATAAATGGATATGTAAATAATAAAATATTTATTTGTATTCCCAAATGAGTTGACTATCTTTAGCATCTAGCAAAGACACATATCTATTGGGAGTATTAAGGAAAATACAGTAATTGCTCCTGAATTGTCTCTCACTAGAGACTTACATATGGGGCCTCTGGTTCCCAACTTGGATAGGAGGGATCAGCTAGTCTTTGAGTTGGAAGTGGTAAAAGAGTGTTTCATCCTTATGTCAGAGTTGAGTTTGTGACTTACGACTTTGTCCCAGCTCTGTCTTCAGGAGAAAAATGAATAATTAGTTCATACCATGGAGCTGACAGTATTTGAATTTACCTCTTCCTGAGCTAGGTAAAAGTACTGATTATAGACTCCACTCAGCAATGACAGTAATCTGTGTGTGTGTGTGTGTGTGTATGTGTGTGTATGTGTGTGTGTGTGTGTGTGTGTGAGAGAGAGAGAGAGAGAGAATGTGTGTGTGTGTGTGTGTGTGTGTGTGTGTGTGTCTTGCATGGTCTGTTACAAATTTTGCAGTGACTACACTTATACCAGGTACATTTTGTATTATTAATTTAGTCCATCTCAGAAAACTTAGGTGGACATAATTGCTTTAATTTGGAACTTATATTTTCCTGCGTAAAAAAATGGTTGATTCTTTCATTCCTGTGTAAGGAAACTGCTGTCTGGTCTGTGTCCCAGCTATGAGCACATACTTCCAACTTTAAAAAATAGTATCTGTATCCCTGTGCTAATAAGCTGTATTAAACTTAATTTAAATTATAAACTGTAATTAAAAGTATGCCTATGAACAATTTTCTATTGTTTACTTTCAAAATTTTCAAAAATTTTCATAAACTTTCATGAATTCATATTACTGACTACATAATATTACTTCCAATGGTTCTATATCATGGTTGCCATAACATTTCTCTTACTGATGGATGAGATTCAGTGTGATCAGGGTGGTATGGCTGAGACTCTTACTGTTGGAAATCAGGTAGCTCATCGAATTATTGGCTAGGTCTTATCTGCCTTTGTCCTAGATTCCTGAAAATTCTCTTTATGGTCACTTGTCTTTGTAAGTCCAATAGTTAGTATCCTAGTGCCTACATTTATCTCCAGTGGTCTGCCTAACCACTAAGTCAATACACCATTTTAAAGGCTTTTGGGAAATTACACATCCTACCCTATCCTTACTGAGAAATGTTTATCCAGATGTCTCTTTTCCTTCAATGCATGCTCCACTGGAATATAGAATGGTGATTAAAATCATGGGCTTGAGATCAGAGAAATTTGGCATTGAATGACTTTTCCATCATTATCATGGTGTATGATTTTAGGCCAATTCCCTACTTTCTTTAAGTCCTTATTTCCAATTGGTTAAATGATAAGCATGATTTTTTGTGGTCCTGTTAAGCTTATGTTATATAAATTACATATCCCAGAAGCTGGTATATAATATCACCACAATGATACATGATTAATGGGTGATTAGTAACTTAATTAATAGATGACCATTGTCATTGTTAATGATCTACTGATCTTGAAATGGGAGATTTTTGATTCATCCTTAAACTCTGATTTATTCCCTAAAAGTCTTAAGTCCTTGTTGCAGAAGTTATTGTCTTACTTGGGGAAATGTGCAATGAGGGCTTTTAATAAAGTGGGAAGAATATAATTTTAAAGCCAAGCAGCCCTGGATTTAATCCTTGGTTCACCATAGATTAATGCTGTACCCTTGAGTTCCATTCCTGATCCCCAATGATCTAGTCTCTAAAACAAGGATCGCAATGCCTTTTTGAATGGTTCTAAAACAAGTGAATAGTATTTGCAAATCTAGTGCCATTCACTGTATCAAATTTTATTAATAACGCAACCATTTCTACAGCCTTGCCTACAGAAGTCATTTCAGCCAAATTGGGAAGATATTAAATTTGTTCCCAAAGTCTATAACCTCAGCTTTCCTTCTGCCTGAAATTTCCACCCTTCTCCTCTCCTCACTCTGTCTGAGGAATCAAGTGCCCTTGTTCTGCCCTCCAAACTTTCCCCCCAAAATGAAACACTTTCAGCCATTCCATCTCAGTGACAGTGCTGGCAGGAGCACTCACCCCAGAAATATTTGCTTTAATTCTAATCTCTAGCTGGATTTTTAAAATTATTTATTTATTTGGTACTGGGGATCGAACTCAGGTCCTTGTACTTGCATTGCAGGTAACAGAACCACTGAGCTAAGTCCCCAGCCCACTACTTGGAATTTAAATGTCCTTTTCATCCTGCCAAGAGAATTTTATATATTAGCAACCTATTGAGGGTGGTGTTGGAGTAGAGATAAGGCAGAATCAGTGCTGTACTCAGTGTGTAGAAATCACACTACACATTTTGTATTTTGCTGGTTATACATTGTCGTGTTTGTAACCTGTCTCTTAACTTTAGGACTTTGTTATTGTAGTAGTGGTTCTAATAAGCCAAAATTATTAGAATTTTAAATTCTGTATTCAATTTTTAGGGACCTTGATTGACAAATATTATTCTAAGATCATCAATATAAGTTATATGTTCTTCTAATGGTTCTGAAATTTTGCTTCTATATTTAATTTTTAATCCATCAGGGATTTTTAATGTATGGTATAAAATGGGGGAGATAACATTATTCCCTTTTTTCTGTATGGGTAGCCAACTGCCTAAACACCATTCATTGAAAAGTCCATCTTTTTGTTTGCTCACTGAATTATAATGCCTCTTCTGTCTTCATTCTAAACCTATTTCTAGCCTCTATCTTTTCCTGCACTGTTTTATGACTTTTCTTTGTAGAAATAAATTACTTATTATAATCACTGTTGCTTTATAATAAGAATTGATGAATTACAGTGAATACTTACCTTCTTTTTAAAAATGTAGAGATTTTTTATATTGATTTGGATTATTTATTTCAATCACTTATTTTATATACACTGAAAAGAATAGAATTACTTTTAATTTGGGGGGGCTTTTAGATCACACTTTTTTGAAATTTGATGCTTGTGACAACTAAATAAAGTGGTACTATAAATAGGGTTGAACGAAGGTCCTGAACCAGACCCAGTGTAAGTCTTTGTTGAAACAGTCACCTTGAGTTCAATCAGATGTGGAATCTCTTATTCTAAAAACAAATTTATATTGTAGAGGCATTGTCTTTGGCACATTGCAGATCTAAAACCAGTGAGAAAATTAGAAATAATAACGAAGTGTGTGGACAAGCAGGGGATACAGAATTAAACAGGTCATTACACACAGAATTATGAAGGGCAATTATATTTCTGATGACAAATAATCGCTTTGCTTTCAGGGGACAACTCTGGAATCAAAAGATGATCAAATTGGTTACTATACATAGGCTGTTAAAATACTGTGAAGGGAAACATTTAGTGACCATTAACTTTTAATATTACCACCTACAGAGAGTGGGACCAGACTGACAACGAAAGTGACTGTGTATTTTAAACCTGCATTGTTTTTCTATCACATTTGCGACAAAACATGTGGCAAATATAAGAAAGTGTGGAAGGAGGCAATCTCTAGGTTGAAAGAATATCTCTACCATCCTCTGCTCTGGATGTCAGTTCTTATTCCAAGACATTCCACTTTTCCCCGGCTTCCCAGCTGATGTACAAGTATGAGGCCTGAGAACCAGAGCTGCGTGTCCGAGTTCCTCCTCCTGGGGCTCCCCATCTGGCCAGACCAGCAGGCTGTGTTCTTCACCCTCTTCCTGGTCCTGTACCTGACCACAGCGCTGGGGAACCTGCTCATCATCCTGCTCATCAGGCTGGACTCCCGCCTCCACACCCCCATGTACTTCTTCCTCAGCCACCTGGCTTTCACTGACGTCTCCTTTTCATCTGTCACTGTCCCAAAGATGTTGACGAACATGCAGACTCAGCACCTATCCATCACCTATGCGGGGTGCATTTCACAAACGTATTTTTTCATATTCTTTGCTGACTTGGACAGTTTTCTAATCACTTCAATGGCCTATGATAGGTATGTGGCCATCTGTCACCCTCTACATTATACCACCATTATGAGTCAGAGCCTGTGTGTCATGCTGGTAGCCATGTCCTGGGTGATTGCTTGTGCCTGCGCTCTTTTGCATACACTCCTCCTGGCTCGGCTTTCCTTCTGTGCTAAACGTATGGTCCCTCACTTCTTCTGTGACCTTGGTGCCCTGCTCCAGCTGTCCTGCTCAGACACCTCTGTCAACCAATTGGTTATCTTTACGGCAGGTTTGGCAGCCATTATGCTTCCATTCCTGTGCATTCTGGTTTCTTATGGGCGTATTGGGGCCACAGTCCTTCAGGTTCCCTCTACCAAGGGAATCTGCAAAGCCTTGTCCACATGTGGATCCCACCTCTCAGTAGTGATTCTCTACTATGGAGCAATTATTGGTCTCTATTTTCTTCCCTCGTCGATCAACAGCAATGACAACAAGATAATTGCTTCAGTGATGTACACAGTAGTCACTCCCATGTTGAATCCCTTCATTTATAGCCTGAGAAATAAAGACATGAAAGGGGCCTTAAGGAAACTGCTGAATAGGAAAACACATTCTTCCAACTGATATTTTTCTCTCTACTATATCTGTAGAACCTTATTTACTCAGAACATAAACATAAATTATTTAAAATATTGCTCATTTGGTTTCTTTCCACAGCCGTCACTACCCTTTGCGCGGAGGATTTATAAGACTTTATTTGATCTTTTATTCAATATCAGCATTGGAAAATGTTTTGGTTCTTATCGTTTTTATCAGTATATGTTTGTCACACATAATGATCAAATTCATCATAGGGAATTTGTACCTGCACATAATGTTCCATAATACTTTTTTTTTCTCATTCCCCTGCCCTCCCTTCATCCTTCCCTCCCCATTTACAAAAGCTTTATGTCCATTTTTTCTTCCATTCTCTGTTTTCTAAAGCGATCCCTGTTCTGTTCCTTCCCTTACCCCCATCCTCCCTTGTTCCCCCTCCTATTTGAACAGCCACTTCCTACTTCCCAATATCTATTTCTATTTTGCTCCCTATTGACCCTTTGGGTTTCTCACACAAGAGAGACAATGTGATATTTAAACTTGCGTCTGGTTTATTTCACTTGACATTGTGGTCTCAAAGTGCATTCATTTACCTAAAAATATCATGTTTATCTTTCTTTATGGCAGAGTAGTACTCCGTTTTATGTAAAACGAATTTTCTTTATTCATTCATCCATGGATGGGCAGATGTACTATTTCCAAAGTTTAGTTATTATAAATGTGCTTCTATAAACATGGTTAAGTATATATCACTGTGGTGTGATTTCAGTGCTATCATTAAATGAAAGACTTTAGGAATAGTCCTTCCTCAAAATTTGAATTTGCTATAAAATATGTCTGGTCTTTCACACCTGCATTTATAAAAAATTTTCCATTTTTATTAAGCTATAGCTCCTCTTTTACTGAGGAAGCAAGACAAACAAAATGATATATGAAGTTATGCTTTACTTATACAATAACACACTGCCTTTTTGTCCTTTAGAAATATAGCTCACTCTTCCCTTCTCCCATACACAACGCAGATAGATAACAGTGACAAAATAAAATCCACCTCTGTCACTGGTCTAAGAGCTACTTTTATTCTGACAACAATTCCAAAGTTAGCTTTGGAAAAATCAGGCTCAAAGAGTTGACAAACTACCCCAAATTACAGTTAGTGAAAGGGAGATGTGAATCGTGGGTTGTCTACCTCAAGAGCAACTCACTGTGACAAGGACTGTAATCCTTTATATGCTGCACTATGCTACATCCAAGGATGACTGATTTAACACAGCCTGGTTGAAGAAGCAAAAGACTTCCCAGAGCAGTGTGGCTTTATTTGAATCTTAGAATTACCCAGACACACAAAGCTCTACATTGTCCTGAAGATCGGGAAGAGGGAGCATCATGTGTCAGAATGTTAAATTAGAAGCTTTAATTGATACATGAAGATTTGGTAGACACAATTTGCACAAAATGAAATACACTAGGCTGCATTTTAAGATTCAAAGTGAAGATACTTATAGAAAATGCCATGTACTTAATGATATAACTCTTAAACCTTTCAATCTAAAGTGCATCAAAACCCAAATGAGTTAGAGATAATAGAGGGTATAATAATAATAGGGATAAAAGCTTGCAGTGAGCCTTAAATCCTCCCGACAGGAAGGGAGATACTTTCCTCCTTACTTCAAGCTTAACAGGAGAGCTTCAATACTTGGACCCTTTAAAATGTCTGCTATATGTCCTCTCTTTTTATGAAAGCAAAAGCAATAACGAAGAAGAAATGAGGGGAGAGGAGTGGTGGAGAATATGATAGAGCAGTGTTTGGGAACTTGTTTCATTTCATTGTGGGCAATAAAATAAAATAAAGTAAAATGTTCTTATAAACCACAAATAGGGGGAGGGAGGGAGGGAGAGAGAGAGAGAGAGATAGCATCTAAAGCCACTCAATTCTTTCTAAGATATTTTAGAAAGCCAGAGGAACTTCAAGGGACAAAACAAGATAACTGTATGGAATCCAGCACTACAAAACCAGAGCTATGAGGGAAACATTTATAGGAAGAAAATATGTTTTAGCTAAATCACAAAGTGTTTGTAATAGGTCAGTCTGGAAAGCACACAGAAGAATGAGTCCATTTAGCCATTATCCAACACAAGAGAAGCACATTTCATCTCTGAGTTCTAACTCCTCATCCCTGTGCTCCATCCAAGGAGTATGGGCTCAATAGCTAAAACTAGATTTCAGAAAATTGGTGAAAAAATTTAATGTCCCATTGTAATTCTCTTCTGAACTTCTAGTACTTGCCTGTCGCTATACCAAATGAGAAGGGAGAAAATTTATGGATAGAATCAGGTATCAAGTATAGCACATTAGATTATTGTTTTCAAAATATTTTTCTTCTCACTTCTCAAAATTTTTTTAAAAACCATTATTAGTATATATTTGCAACATAATAATTATGTTTGTTTTGGGGGAGTTTGTACATATACATCTTAGTCATTTTTGCTCTCTTTTCCTCCCTTCCCATTTTCCCAAGTCTATCTCCTTGTTTCCTATCATCTCTCTTGTATTCTGTTCTTTATATTTTGGATTTCTCATTTAAGCAAAACCAAATGATGTTTAATTTTTTATTTCATTTATTTCACTTAGTATTACGATCTCAAGATTGATCCATTTTCCTGTACATGACTTAAAATTATCCTACTTTATAGCCAAGTAATTCTCTCTCTCTCTCTCTCTCTCTCTCTCTCTATATATATATATATATATATATATATATATCAGATATTCTTTATCCATTCATTTGTTGGTCACATATGAATTATGCTACTATAAACACAAGTATGCATGTATCACTGTAGTTTGATGGCTTTCTTTTGGGAAGATACTTCAGGAGTTTTCACTAAGGTGGAAAAAGATATAACCAGGTCAAATGGAATTTCTATTATTTTAATCACCATACTAATTTCTGTAGGAGTTATACTAGTATTCCCACCAACAACGTAGAAGAGCACCTATTTCCACAGAACTTTGTCAGCATGTGTTGGTGCTTTAGTACTTGATGATAGCTATTCTTTTTTTTTCAGCTTTGATTGAGTTTATTGGTACATTTTAGGGATACAGTACAGTTACATTCATTGTTGGGATCTTGTACCTCTATCTGACAAGTCTTGATTCTCATGTTTTCCCCTTACCCCTGCCTTCCCTTCACCCCCTCCTCCTGATAGCTATTCTTATAGGAGTAAGATAGAACCTCAGAGTTGTTTCCATTTGCATTTCTGTAATGGCCAAAGATGTTGCACATTTTAAAATGTGCGACTTGTACTTGGGTTGAATTTGAATGGAGAGCTCTGAGCTTCCTACCTGCATTTGGTATCTTTCCCTAGATTTTATATGTTTTCAGCTATTATTTTAAAAAATATGCCTCTGGTCCTGTTTCTTTTTCTTCACCTTCATTAATTCCTATTATGAAAGGATAATTCTCTTGATCATGTCCTATATTGCCTGTAAGCCATCTTTCTTTTTAATTTTTTATACTCTTTTTGTTCCTGTGATTGGTAATTTCAAATGTTCTGTCTTCAACGGCATGCATATATATATAGATAGATATCTATCTATCTATATCTATATCTATATCTATATCTCTCTATATATATATATATCTTTCTTTAAGGTTCATTGTTAGAGATTTCTGAGTTACTTTTGGAGGTGTCATGATTTAACGAGTACTTGTCATCCTAAGATCTTTGTGTTTATGTCTATACTTTTGAGGAGACAACCACCTCTTGTGTGAGTCTGTGTAGCCCAGGTGGTGATAACCCTAGGCAGGTGAGACTTACTTTTGGATTCTCTAGATGGCTGGCACACTTTTTTTTTTGTATCAAACATCTGGGCTCTGATATCTGGTGGGACTAATGGCTAAGCCCTGAAATCAGGATGATTTGCTAAATAGGCACTGCAATTGTCCCAAGCAGAACCACAGTGTATATTCACTGTCCAAATGGTATTTCTATTTGAGTTCAGAAGCTTGTCACTGTTGGAAAGAGACCCTAAGTGCAGGAGTCAGCCTGCAAACTAACCTAGGGGTATGACTGAGGAATGAAGAGATAAAGACAAATTTCTAAGCAAGGGGGACTTGAGGAAACTTACCTTAGGTGAACAAGAGCACAGAAAGTTTGAAAAGCCCCATATTTATTAGAACAAGGCAATGTAGCAAACACACAATTCAAGGAACAAAGAACTGTAGATGATTAATAAAGAATATAATGACCCCATTCCTGGATATATAATTTTTCTCTTAGCCCTCAGCTGATGTTGTTATGCCTCAGGGGTATTGCGGGTGTTAGCATCCCCGCAGGCAAAGAAGGGAGCGGGCAGCCTTCCATCCCCTTTCTTGTCCCAGGGAGAGGTCAACAAAAGGCGTTGGTATCTGTGGCTGATCCTAGTCTCCCATATCTAAGGTAAATTATAGTCACTAGGATAGATGGACCCAGTAGATATGTTCTTTAGAAATGCATTGTCAAAGTTTGCTATTCTGCCCATATGGGACCTCAGAATAACTTTAAGGCTAGGTTGAATGTTGTTTAAACTTGCAGA